CAAAAAGAGGGGTGACGCACAAGGAGTTCAAATGGCACATGGTAGCCAACCAGCCCGCGACTGTGGCCGAGTTCCTCAAGCTCGCGGACAAGTTCATGAGGACGGAGGAGGAAATCAGCCAGCGAACCGAGGGCGGAAACGAGAAAAGAAAGAGGGATGGCGAGCCCTCTAACTCAGCTGACCGAAAAAACCCGGCCCGGGGCCCAAAACCGAACCAGTCGTTCCGAGCTCCCCTGCCAGTTCGGACGGATTACACACCACTGAACATGAGGCGGACCGAGATCTTAATGACAATTAAGGACGCCCCGTACGTGAAATGGCCACCTCGCCTAATGGGAAATCCGAACGAAAGAAACAAGAATTTGTATTGTAGTTTCCATAGGGACCATGGTCACAGTACCGAGCAGTGCAATAACCTCTGAGACGAAATAGAGGGGCTCAGCCGTCGCGGATACTAAAGAAACTTTGTACAGCACAACAATAATAGCAATAAAGCGGATCGGCCAGACGAGCACGAAAAGGACGCCCCCGAAACTAGCAGCAGGCCTGCCGAACCGATGCAGCGACAGCCTCCGGCAGAGAGGCCAATTCGGGTAACCATCCATGTAATTGTGGGAGGTTCAGTGGTAGCGGGGTGTACATTGGCGGCAGCCCGGACTTCAGTTCGCGAAGCGGTCCTCGAGGAGCGGAACCCTCCGGAAAGGCCAAAGACCGTAGAGCCAATCCTCTTCACAGAAGACGACGCGCGAGAAGTTCGCTACCCTCACGATGACGCGCTTGTCATTAAACTAAGGATCAGCGACTTCGAGGTTAGGTGCGTACTCGTAGATTCGGGCAGCTCGACAGACATCCTCTTCAAATCGGTGTTTGATCGGCTACAGTTACCAAGGAGCGAACTAAAGCCCGCAAGCACTCCCCTGGTGGGCTTCAGTGGAGAGGAAGTCAGGCCCCTTGGAAAAATAACGGTGCCTGTGGAAGTTGGCACGTGGCCTTGTGCGGTCAGACTCAACCACGACTTCCTGGTKRTYRCGASCCCCTCCCCATACAATGYCATAATAGGRCGRCCAATCACGCATATCCTGCGGGCGGTGGTCTCCACCTACTATTTGGC